GGTCTGGTGCAGGTCCACACTGCACACACACACACACACACACACACACACACACACACACACACACACACAGTGAACTGGTGCAGGTCCACCCTGGAGATTCATGACACATATGCACACACTCACAAAACTTAGGATCAATTTTCAACTTCTACAATAGTTTCCTCTTGAACGAGGACATTCTAAGGTCCCTGCTACGCTACTGGGTTTGTTTAGTCCTGGAAAGGTATACGCTCATCCTGATATCAGCATTTTAATCCTCACAGACAGCACACTTTCTTATCATTTTTCGTGTGTGTGTGTGTGTGTGTGTGTGTGTGTGTGTGTGTGTGTGTTCTCTTCTGTTTTCATGAGAGCTCCGAGACTCAGACTCAGACTCAGGTCAGGTCGGCCTGTGCGAGTACCTTCACCAATTGAGCAATCTGGCCAGCCTCACAGCACACATTTTAAAGTGAAGGAGAGATAATATACAGACCTTACATTCAATGATAAATCACAAAATAGGGATGAAACTACCATGGTAAGTGGGATGCAGTGGGGCATCCTGGTAATCCGAGTACTTGGTAGATGTAAAAGCCTCAGGAGTCCAGGGTTATCCTCAGCTAGGTAGATCAATAAACTGAGGCTAGCCTGGTCTAGCCTGTTTTTTTTTTTAAAAAAAAAAAAAAACTATAGCAGAAAAAAAATACTATCATTAAAATAGTAAAAAGTTACTGTACTATCAATTTATTTTAGCTATTTATTTTTCTGAGGCAGGCTCACAGTATAGCCCTAGCTGGCTGAGAACTCATTTCTATAGAGGCTGACCTTGAATCCTAGGCACACCTGCCACTCCTAAAATTGAAGCTGTGCACCACCATACCCAGCAACACAATTTTTAAAGACTACCCCAAGTCAGGTGTGGTAGCATGCGCTTTAATCCCAGCATTCAAGAGGTCTCTGAGAGTTCAAGGCCAGCCAGGGATACATAATGAGACCCTGTCATGGAAAAATAAAAAAACTATCACAACTTACAGAGAAAGAATAGTTCACAAAATACCACCTCTGACAATAAATACAGTAAAATCAGCTATTTGACTGGGAAAGCATAACAACGATCAACACAGGCAAAGGCTGGGAGACCTGATACTCAATGATGGCAGCAGAAACTGAAATAGATCTACTTAGAAGCCAGTTTGACATTCATTATCAAGATCTGGTGATGTTAATTGAAGAATCTTCCAAGCCATGGAGGATATATGAACAGACTTCACACCCACGTCACAGCTGCAGACCACGTCACTTTGGCCTCCCTTTTGAGTGCACCAAGTGTTCTCACATCGGGACTTCCAAAGACACAACTGCTTCTCTCTGCCAAGAATGCTCTTCTCCCATCACTCTCCAGTCCACTTTGTCAGAGAAGCAGAGTCAGCTCCTGCAGCCACCTCTAGCACATTCTCACTGTCCCTTAACAGTGCTATCCTAACCTGCAGTCAATTCTTCCAGAAACGTCACTAGTAATCTTTATTAGATGCTCATAATTATTTGACAGGGCAACCTGATTCCCCTGTTAAACTGCACAGGTGGTGCACACTCAGGAAGCAGAGGCAGGAGGATCTCTGTGAGTTTGAGGCCAGCCTGGCCTACAGAGTGAGTTCCAGAACAGGTAGGGCTGTTCACAGAGAAACCCTGTCTCAAGAAAAGCTAAAATAAATAAATAGATATGGAAATAAGTAATAAAAAGTGAAATAAATAAAATGCTACAGGACTACAGACTACCCACTCTAGCCTTGGCTATACCTCACAGCTTGGCATCACTATGCAAGTACCACTTAGTAGGCGTTCAAACAAAACCTGTTGAGGTAACAATGATGCTCGCTGCATCAATATTTATGATGGAGCCTTGAAACTCAAGTGTTGAAATAGAGATGTTCCCAGTCCCTGAAACAGCTAGCTGGGAAGGATCTTGGTACTCCTTCAATACTAAGCTTGATCCGTTTAATAAGAGAGCAAAATAAACATCATTTTCTATGTGCTGGGAGGTGAAAAGACTGAAAATATTATCAACAGTCCCCTTATTCTAAACTTGGAAACCCTTTCACCAGTACCTGAACTTTGTTGCAACCACCTACCTACGATCTTGTCCTTGGATATATGTTCAAGGACCCATCTGGGCACCCGTTTTGCCTGGTCATAAGACAAGGCATGATTAGTGTAACGCCTGGTCTCTGTTCCAGTTAAAGGAAATCCAAACTGTTCCAAGACTATTTTTTCTGCAGATTCTGAGAAAGAAAAAGAAAAAAAAAGGGGTGGTGGTGGTGAATAAAAACAAGTAATTAGTAACTCTTATTAAGAACAAAAGATCAAAGACGACAGTGATATCTAAAAGCAAATGGCCCAAAGGTCTCTCCAGGGAGTGTGGTTCCCAGTGCTGGGGATAGAAGGGTCTAATCAAACAGACCTCATTTTTTGCAATTATTTATTAAGTCAAAGAAAACAGTTAAGCAAAATCCTCCTCTGCCTACATTCTGCTGTGTATTCACAATAAGCTTCAACTCCAGGGTGTGCATTTGGTTTAGGTGCTGGGGAATGAACTCAGGGTCTCACCCACGCCAGGCAAGAATCCCAACAGGGCCACGTTCCCAATCCTTTTACTTTTTACTTTGAAACAGAGTCTCACTACATTTCTCAAGCTAACTGAACTCACTCTGTGACCCAGGCGGGCCTTGAACTTTCGCTCCTCCTACTTCTACCCACCAAGTTGACAGGTATGTGCTGCCACACTCAGTCACAACGTAAAGAAAGGCCTGGCGTGCAGGGTGCAGGCAGAGCACAGCTCAGCAACGGCTGTGCACACACTAGAGGCCCTCGCTTCATTCCTGGTACCAAACAGAAATACGGACCGGATCTTACTAGTTCTCCAAATCTGTCTGCACCTCAAACCGTAAGGAGACCGCAAAGGAAAGCATCATGCCGCTGCAGCTATCAGTCATTGATAAAACTGGATGGGAAAGGGTCTTCATACTTAAGGAGACAAAAATGGCCATAATTTTAGTTTCTCATCATCACAGCATCTCATCTGCCAGGCTAAGTATTCATTTTAGTTATCCTAAAGACCATAATTCCATGAGTGGGAGCACACACCTGTTACTCCAACAAGTTTGATGCCTGGCTGGGTCACAATGAGACCTTGACTCAAAAAAAACAAAAACCACTCAAACCATCCCTCACTAACACTCCCCAATGTTTTAACACAAGGGAAGACTGATATAGGTAGGTATGCTGCAGGAAGGCTGGGAAACTGGTATTTTCTCCTATTGGAAAAAAACCAAGCACACGCTCCACAGTGAGCCAGGTACCAGTCGCCCCTTCCTCCCCATGCCTTCCCAAGCACCATCGCCGGGGTATTCCTCTGGCACAATGCAAGTACCAAAGAAGCAGGTGGTCGAGCATGTCCTGGAATGCGATGGGCCTGCAGGTGCCCTGGGAACGTAAGGATTTACATGCTTGGAAAACTGGGTAGGAGACAGCCTTCATGGAAACTCCCTCACACATACTTGCTGGGATGGTTGATGTCAATTTGACAGAATCGAGAATCACCTGAGAGACAGGCCTCTGGGTATGCCCATGGGGGGTGGATCATGGCTGTGTGCACAGGCGCGGGAACCCGCGGCTTAACTGTGGGCGGGGCCGTTCCCGGGCTGGGAATCCCACTCTGTGAGGATGGGAGAAGAGGGGGCCGGGCAGCAGCATGCCTTCCTCCCTGTCTCCCGACTGTGGGAGCAATGCGGCCAGCGGCTTCGAGCTCCTTCCTCGCCATGATGGGCTGCACCTCGAACTGGAGCTAAAGCAAGCCCTTCCCTGAAGCTGCTTTCGTCGGGTCCTGGTGTGTGTGTGTTTGTTTTTTGTCACAGCAACAGGAAAAGAAACTAAGACACTTACTGAAGGCCAATTCTGTACCAGGCACTGTGCTGCACCTAAGGTGGAGAACAAACAGAGTCTCAGCTCGAGGTGGAGCTACGGACGGCAGGCGGTGACTGGCGAGCCCGCAGAGCGAGGGGAAGACTTGGCGGGCAGAAGGGGCGGGTGGGGCCGAGGCCCGGGGATGGAGCCCGCCCGCAGACTCACCGTGCGGGGATCCCGCGTCCCGGCTCCGGAGGATCTGCAGCGCCGTCAGCCCAGCTCCCGCGGCGCCCACGACAGCCCCGGCCAGGAAGCCATTCAGAAACCGCCGCGAGCCCCTGAGGCGGGAAGCGAAGCTCTTTGCAGCCATAACTACAGAGACGCCAGCGCGTTGCCTCTGCCGCGCATGCGCACACCGAGGGCCCGAAGCCAGGATGGCCCAATCGCAAGCGCGGTAACGCGGCACGCACGCGCGATTTGGAGCCGCCGCCCAGAGCCCTTCGCAGCTGACGGTCTCGTGCGCCCCCTGGTGGCCAGCTGGAGCAGGCGCGCCTGCCTCCATCCCGGTCCGAGCCAGGTGATGGATGGGTTCTAAGTGTCAAGACTCAAGACTCGAGGGTTTAATGGTGTGCATGTACTGTCCTCAGAAGAAAATTCCTTTAGTCTCCTTTAATAGTGAGTAAACGTGTTCTCATGATGCAACTCGGTGTGATTCCAAAACCTGTTCCACACTGGATCTGTTGGCAACGCCTAGCTTTAGAGTCAAAATGCACACACATTTTGTGTCTGTACCTCCTATGGAGTTTCTTGGCAAAACAGTACTCCCTGGTAACCTGAGACTCTGGACCAGAGCTCAGAAGTTTAAATCCCTGCCAAACCACTAGCTATGGGGTTCTGGTTCCACTTTAGTTTTAAAAGTTTCCTATATCATTACTAGTGTGTCTGTGTTTGTCCATGCCATGGTACGCATGTGGAGGACAGGGAGCATCTCTGATGAGTGAGCTCTCTCCTTCCATCTTATGCAGGCTCTAGGGATCAAACTCCGGTCCAAACTCCAGCTTCTACGGTACCTTTAACCGTCTCAGCAGTCCAGCCGGCAGATATGGAGATGGTGCTTAGCAACTGCATGTGTATCCAGCAGGAACCCACAGACTAGAACCAACCCAGAAAGCAGGGAATGCTATCTTACTGACTTCTAGCTCCCATAAAAAGAAGTGTCAAACTCCGTCCATGGGGCTGCTGACAGAATGGCTCAGTGGTTAAGAGCACTTGTTGCTCCTCCAGAGGACCCAAGTTCAGTTCCCAGCACCCACATGTCAGCTCACTACTACCTGTATGACTCCAGCTTCAGAGGATCTGATCGCCAGTTTTGGCCTCCCTAGGCATCCACACACAGATAGCATACAAATACACATATATAGAAATATTCACAAAATTTAAAAAAGAAAATAAAAGACAAGGATACTTTATTTATTGTTATTTATTTTCATATACAAAAAGATAAAACTTGAAATAGTTCTAGATTTTTCCTCCTATTCTGTTGGGGGTGTGGCTGCTCCTTCACACAGGGGGAAAAACTACATTCACATCGGTTTGTTTGAGGACCCAGTGCAGAATTCCAGCAGCAAAACCCCAATGTAGCAGATCTAATTTCAAACTTGACACTCGTTTCTAAAATTACCACAGGGAAAAGGAGCAAAGACCCACTGCAAATGGATGAACTATGATACAATGTTCTTTCCAGAATGTTTGCATTTTGCAACTGTAGTTACACAGATGTCTGCTTCAGGCCATTATAGGGGTGTGTGTGTGTGTGTGTGTGTGTGTGTGTGTGTGTGTGTGTGTGTGTAATATATATATATATAAAAATCAGCACACTTTTCAAATCCAGACAGGGTAACAGCGACAAGCTTACTCTGTATATATATATATATTTTTTTTTTTAAAGACATGATACTTTAGTATAACTTTTGTTAATTCAGTAGTACACACTATTTTCTGTTCTACAAAATGTCTGTTTTATAGCTACAAGGGTGAAAAGTGTCCCACTACATTTACACCTCACATATTCTGGCATACAAACAGTACTTAATCGAATTTGAGCCCCAAACTAGAAGTTCTTAGTTTTAGCACTTGAGAGAGCTTCCTCAGGTCTACAGCCTGAAATCACAGACTAATCACGCCTCCAGACTTCGCAATGACTCGTCATGTTCAACTGTGAGAAACAGATGAATCCAAACTTCTAATTACAGTTCATATATACAAGTTAGATAACACAGCTCAGGGAGACGTAGCTACCCATCCTAAGGGCAACACACACATTCTCCACTAAGTCAGACAAGTCTTAAGTTTTTTCTTCCAAATAATGTACAAATTTAGAAGTAGCTGGTAAAACTGATATATAAGATGGTAAATAAAAAGTGACATTTTCTGTTGGTTCCAAAACCGTCCCTGCAAAATCCCCTGCTCTGCTGTGTTTTTAACTCACTGTCTGTCGCGTGCCAAAAGCTCTTCTTCACAGGAATCGACATCAAACTCGATGCAAGGTAAGTTTACAGTACTGCATAACACTAATCAGATTCAAGGACAAACGTGGAAAAATAGTAACAGGTGAAAAATTTGGCCTTCGACGTCACCATTGGGATCATGTCAAGTTCATAAGCAGATTCTCTTGTACAGCTGAAAAATGGCATCGGGTGGATTTGTGTCATGGTACTGAAATCTAGAAGTATGTTTCTAATCTGCGGTAACTTTCTCCTTCAATTCTCAAGTACCACTCAATTTTCTTTGCATTTTTACAGAATTCTGGAAAAAAAAAAAAACAACTGAGGGAAAGCAAGGCGCTGGCATTTGACCAGCTGTGCTCTTGCTGATGGCCCTGGAGTGTCAAACGAGGGCTCTCGCCCATGTGACGACCGCGGGCTCCCAGGCGGCCTCCGACAGCTCGTGTCCCTACTCTGGTCTCTGTCGTGCTTTCCCTATGGAGAAATTATTTGGCTAAATTCATACACTTAACTCGTGGCAGTGCTCTGGGAAAACCCCACTAGGCTAAAGCACTTACAGGACTGAGGGCAACAGTCCGCTCAGCGGGGGCCGACACCAGACACCCAGAGGGCTGAGTTCAAACCCACCAGGAACACGCCGACCCTGGTGTCCCATGGTCAGCGGGACAGCCCAGGGCAGGCAACTCATGGCTGGGTTACCACTTTTAATCCCAGCCTGCTGTCTATGCCCCAGAGACAAAAACTCAGATGTGGTGATAGCTGGTTAATTAAGCTTTTTGAACTGGTAAAAAAGGCTCTTTAAAAATATATATATATATTTATTTAAAATACATCAAAATGACAAGCAGCCATATCCCACAAGGCCTAATTCCACAGCAACGTATACTACAGACATCTTCCCAGAACACACTGTGGCAGTGGACGGGGGCTTCTACCCTGCTGTTTGAAGGAATGCTCTATGTCTGAGCTCTAGCGACTGGAAATGTGTTACAAAGAGCTCATCTTTGGAGCTGATTTGCATGGAGACCAGCCAGTTAGGTTGCTTTGCCTATTCAGACACGTGAGAATACTGAACACGGCAGAACACACAGGACACAGGAAGCACCGTTCAGATGACACTCCCAACCAGTCCCACCACAGTGCCAGGACAGGCTTGCCAGAAGCCCCTGGGTCCACTGGGAAGAGTTTTGCTTTAAAACAAGTCAGTGGCCACACTCAGCGGACCTCCTGCATGTGTGGTAAGTCAGCAGTATCGAGGGGGCCCAGACGGTGACACCGTTCAACACGAGGTCTGAGGTAACTGGTTCTTAAAGTACCCGGATCACACAAGTGCATCCAGAAATGAGGGCTGGAAAGGGGGAGACAGGGAAGGGGCGGGGCTCGAAAAGACAAGGAGAGAGCTTACAGCAGTTGCTTTTGAGGGGTGGCCGACAAAAACAAAGGCACAACAGAATTACATTCCAAGACAGGCGGCCGCAGAGCACAGACGTGTTCTTTCACGGGGACCAGAAGGGGGAGCTGGCTTCCAGAACGCAGCCAGATCTGGAACTAAGTGTCCCAAGCAGAAGAGCCTTCTAAACCAGGATGAACAGGGGCAGGGCTGGTTTCAAACCGCACACTAAGGGTCTCTTAGCAGGAGCGCCCCGTCCAGCGCAGTTCTCTAAGCAGCAGGCTGGAGCCAGCAGGCAGCAGGTGGGGAAGAGGCCTTCCGCTGGACCTCAGAACTGGCCATGGGACAAAGGACCTAACTGAATTATCTGCCTCCCTGTGCGCCATGCAAAGTCCCACCTAAGCAACCATCCAAAAGGTGAGATGAAGGCTGCCTAGGCCTTGACAGAAACCCTCTGCGGGCATCTGAAAGACACCCCGCTCTGAGCTTCCTCTGTGGGTTCCTGGTTCACAACAGTTAGAGCAGAAAGCATCCCTGATCAAAAGGGGCAAAACTCCTGGGAACTATCCGCTTAATTCCGTCACTATATCCATGTGCCCCACCGTTTCCAAAGAATTTGTTTGGTCCTAGATAGTTCTGGTTAGTGGAACTCAGGCCACTAAATCCCCATGTCAATGTCATCTTTCTCTAGACCCGTTCCCTCACGGCTCTGTCCTATCGCTTCCGAACCCACTATCGTGACCTACCTCTTATGTAAGGAGCAGACAAACTTTCAACATCAGAACCCTCTGTTCAGCAGAAATCAAACCCACTACAAGCTCCTCCCTTCACCCAGCCACTGTCCTCTGCACAGGCAGGGAGCAGGGCAGAGACACCACTGCCCTGTGACAGGAGCTTGGGCCAAGGGGACCGGTAAAAGGACTCCAGGCTGCCAGTGTATTCAGGAACCCGTGCAAGCGCTACGCTCCATCCAGCACTCACACTCCAGTGTGTGCGTGATCATGAAAGTAAAGCTCATTGCCTTGGATTACAGAAGCATTCTCACTCAACTCACTAGTTTATAAAAATAATCTGTGGTATAAAACGATCTCCACACGTGTGGAGCAACTGTCGAGTGACAGAACCAAACGCATGTGTGGCGCTAGACTTCATAAAGTGAAACTTCAAGGGGTGTCTATCATACAGCTACTCTTATTTACAACTCTCTAAGAACACTGATGCAAAGTGGCCAGGTGTCAGGAACGGGCCCATGTAACAAGCGTGGATGCTCAAGGACTTGAGGCAGGGTTTGTTCATTCACAAAAAACCCACCTTTGCTTGCCCAAAAAAACTAATGGGGCCACACTTCTCCTAACTGTAAACTCAGACACAAAGTTTACAAATGAACACAGTACCTCTCATCTGCAGCGGTCCAGATCCCCCCGTTTGGATGCACCCACTAACTCAGCTGAGAGTCTACAGATGCTGGCCTGGAGAACAGGAGGCCCTGCAGAGCCTATTGCCCCGCACTGGCGTTTAGGAGACATCGCCAGGTGCTGCCATGGACGGAGAAGCAGCACTGGCTTGGGCACTACGGAGATGCACGTAGCCCCGCTAGGGCAAAGTCTCCCCTCCTTCACACCTGGAAGATGCCAGCATGAAAAACGCTAAAAATTGGTTTAGGAAAAAAAAAAAAGATGTAGGCATTCCTGATCTCAATTCAAATTACCAGCCCAACAGTGATTTATAGTAATCACAAATAAGTCCCAATAGCCCACCAAAAATCTTGGGCTGATTTATTGATAGCTTACGGGCCTTTTGAACTAATTTTTTTAAATGTGGTTGAATCAACTAATTGATTCCCAAGGAAGTGCTTTAAACTTAATCTATTTTTCCTATAAAACTAAATCATTATCCCAAAACACTTCCCTAAACCTCCTAGAGGCCTAGGGTACATTCACAGTAGGGCTGCTGGCTACACAGCTACCCAGAATTGCGCATAAAGAGCTATGCACTGAATCCTGAATGCATAGAAAGTTTATCATCTAGATGGTGAAAAACTCATCAGTTGAATTACTGGGCCAATGTTAGCTGAGATTGAAATCTGTCACCAGGCCAAACAAGCCAGCTGCTGAGTACTTCTCAACTTCGGCCAGTGATGAAGGGGAGTTCATGTCACCCAAGCTGAGAGAAAAGGGACACCTTACCACCACCCTTTCTGGCTGTTTCTCTAGTTAGCAGATGGATGGTCGGAGAGCATGCTGAACTTCTTCTGGGAAAGGCGTCATCTACCACTCCTGAAATGTAGACTGGGGCTTGATCATCTCTCCAAAGCTGTGCTACCAAAAGTCCAAAAAGATGAAATAGCTAATGCTTAGGATCAAGCTGAATGAACTGGAAACTGCTCTCTGATTCGGGGATGTATCTAATGAAGACGGTCTTGAGAACAACAGCAGGAATTCAACTTCTAATACAGTAGCTTTGCTGTATTAATTATATAGGAAAAACAAACAAGCTATCCTCCTACCCAGCAGTACACACCAGGGTAAAATCACACACTAAACAGGTAAAATTCTGTGTAAGAGAGCCATCCAGTTCTCTAGCTCTGCATGAAACAGTCACTTCTTCAACTAAGTGGCTAAGCATAGGAACCACCACATGAGCCAAAAAAGCACATGGCAAACATCAAATATCTGTAGGCTGGCTACCAATTAAAATCCTTCATAAAGCCCAAGCCCCGGGGCAGAGCAGCAGGACAGAGAGGGCCAGGTGTGGTCAACTCCAGGGAGCAGAGTGGCAGCAGCATCCTACACTAAGCTAGAAGCAGCTCGAGCCTCGTCGGGAAGGCGGGCCCAGCCCCACCCAGCAAGCCTGGTAGCCTAGTGATGAGAACCAGATCTGCCCTTTGCTGTGGATGTGTGAGCAGAAGACCCAGCACTTGCCCTTCATCTGGTGTCCAGTGCCAGGCCAGCCCGTCAGCCCAGATGCCAATGGCTGCCCCTAGGCTTCCCTGCCATCCCGTCAGTGAGGGTCCTTCCTCTGCGGAGCCCCATAACTCAGCAGCCCTGTCTCTGCTTCTTCTGTCCTTCTCTGACATATTCACAGAAATCTCTGGCAACAAATGACTGCCTATTATCACAGGTATTGTAACCAGAACATTCTCCGCCAAAGCCCACGGCCACAGGAGCCTGTTTGGACCACAACATGCAGTGTCGGAAGAAGAAAGCATCTCTAGCCATTTCTCCCTGACTTATCTCATCCCTTACACACACACACACACACACACACACACACACACACACACACACACACACACACACACACGGACTTCCTCAGTCTTCCAGAAAGCTTAGGGGAGAAGAGACTAGAAGGGAAGTGATATGAAACCTGTGGGAAAGCCCAAGGCAGAGGCCCCTTGACCCAACTGGACACAAGAAGGAAAAAAAAAAAGAAAGAAAAAGAAAAACAAAGGCCACCCAAGTTTCCAGGCCACACCCTGGGAGATCACCTAGCTTCCAGCATGGGCAACTGGGTGTGTTACCTGAAGCTCAAGGAGGTCTCCGGCCCCTATTCACAGACACCACCACCCAGACTCTCCCTTTTCCAGGGCACAGCACACAGGCTCCACCTCCTGACACTCAATTCCGATGCAAGGCCGGACATGGACACTGCTGTGGCTGGACACAGGGTCAGCAAAGAGGGGGGCCACCCCCAGAAAAGGAATCAGGCCTGCCCTGCCTGCAATGTGTCACGACTGGGATGTCCCACACCAGAGCTCAGCCAGACCAGGATGCTTATGACAAGCAGACCAGCACACAAGAGAAGCCCGCCCAGGTCACAAGGTCACACAGGGAAGCTGGGTTTACTGTTTGGCACATCGTGCGACTGGTGACTGGGTCACTCCTGCAGCTAAGTAGCTCCATTTCTCAGTGGTTTGTTTGTTAAAAGTAGAGGTCCCCACTGCCTGAGGAGAAAGCTAACGGAAGAAGATATGGCACTTTTCAATAAATATTTAAAGCTCCTTAAAGAAAGAAGTGAAAAGAAAAGCAACTGCTGTAAGACCTGTTTTGCTAGAAAAAAGTATTCTGAGAGAAGAAAACACCATAGCACAAAATCAAATGGGGGAGGAGGGGTCCCAGGTAACTCACAGAAACAAAGTCCACGTCCCCTACCTAGCTGGCCAGCCCACAGTGATCCACGGAGACAAGGCCAAGGTCAGAGAGGGAAGCCAGCAGGCCTTCCTCAGCACCCTGTGCACAAAGACCACAGAAAAGAACAAGCCTGGGCTGCCCCAGGCACCACACGACATGCTGGGGGAGCGGCTGCCCAGCCGCGAGCTGCGCCCTCCCAGACTTCACGGCACAGTGACAGGCACTACAGAGTCTGCCTGCTGCCCAAGGAATGGACCCTCAAGAACTTCTGAGTGGGTCTGAGGGCTGTGGTTCTGCCAAGTTAAAATAGGGGTGTCATCCTGATACTACCCAGGGGACTTATAGAACAACACCTGACCCTCTAAGCAACCTAGGAGGAAGTGGCCTACCCTCAAGACAGAGATGTGCTGTTTAAATAAGACGGTCTAAACCAGAGTGACGATGCGCAGACTCAGCTCAGACCGCCACCTACAGTTGACAACAAGTATTTACAAGGGCGCTTTTATCAAACAGAAACGGTAGTCCTGACTAGAAGACACAAACTTTTTCCTTTTTCTCTATTTCTTTTAAACTTCCTTGTCATAAAAGCCAACTTACATTAAAATATACTTCCTACAAGACAACACAACTAACAAAATATATAATTAATAAAACATACACAAGTAGAAAATTCTGAGGTATTTCTGGTTTGAGGTGGTCTGTGGTCGTGAAGTTACTTCTTTTACTTTTTAAAATTTAAACCTCGGAAGCCACACAGTAAAGTATGTGTATATATGTGGATGTGTGTGTTCTGTCTGAAAAAGAATTAGCATGTTTCATAAATTAAAAAAAAAAATTCCAATGTCGAAACAGCAGCATTAGGAACATTCAGCGCCTGGAGCAAGGTTATGGCGTAATAGAAAAACAGTTTTAGAATATGCACCACTTTAAAGGGTCTGGAGAAAGCCGTGTCCATGAGCCTCAGAAAGGAGTCAGTAATTCCGCTGCATGGGGTCAAGCCAGAGCGGCAGGCCGGCAAGGTCCCCACCCAGGGGTCCCCTGGGCCACCCACATCGTGCAGGGGGCACCACGGGCATTTCCCCAAACTGCCAAGAAGAAACTGCAGTTCAATATTTGCTCCATGAAAGAGATCTACAGCATCATGTCCAATGAAGAGTGTCCTCTAAACTGTCATACCCCCCCCCAATCCTAACACAAGAGCAGGCAGTGCTTCCTCCTGCGGCCAAGCCCATGTCAGTGGGAAGGAACTGGGGGGGGGGGGGGGGCCCTGGCCCTGCTCCTGGACTTTCTCCAGACCCTGTGCTTGCTATTATTACTGCTCGGCCCCATACGGTCCTTACCCTCAATCCCTTGTTACCTGAGAAAACAGTCTCCACACCAAGAGTGTCGCTCCAAATGTGCCCACGTCCAGTGTAGCTCTGCTCCAAACCCTCCCCAGAACATCCTCCCTTCCAACATCAGTCTAAAGCTTCCTCCTCATCTCAGTTTCCCTCTGCTGGGTCAGGAAGACACCCACTAGCTCCATGAAGACACATCTGCCATTTCTTAAGCTCACTGCCTGGAAAGGGAGAAACACAAAGCAAAGGGTGGGGGACCCTCTTCTGAGGAAGGGTGTGTTCATGTAACAGTCTTCAAAGGTTCCTCGAGTAGAGATTGCAGCATTGAGTGTCCTAAGACAGGAGACGGGTTTCTCTGTGTTACAGATTCTGAGACGACAAAGAGGACGCTGGCGGAAATGGGTCCCGAGGGACAGGAGGTGGCTGAGGCTCTACAGCATGGCGCTGGTTCCGCGTTCACAGCTCAGCACCTCAGCGCCTGCTGACGTGTCCGCTGTTTGCGATACAGTAGAACAATATGCTGGTAAAAACTGATCCAATCCAAAAATAATATTATTAATAATAATTATAATAATAATAAAAGTCAAGGTAAAATAGCAGCTGCATTTTATGTGTTTGTTGGTTTTATGGGATTTCCAAAACAAAACACAACTTTTTTCCTTTTTTCTTCAGATCCACTGAGTCTGGAGAGACACTCGTATCCTAGGCTTAGATGCTGGACTCTTTAGGGGGCAGGTCCACGTTGGTGACAGAGGTCACCAGAGAGACGAGACAGTCCGAGGTAGTGCCGTTAACCGACCTCCTGATCAGGGACACCCGCTCCTCCACACAGCCTGCAGAGAGGCGAGCCTCTGCGTCGTGGTCCCAGCACTCCTCAATGGTCACACAGAGCTGGGCCAGGCCCTGCAGAGCGGTGGGAGGGAGAGAAGAAAGCTTGTTAGGGCTCCGTAGTGAGGGCAGCAGTGACGGTGTGTCAGGGGATCACACGGAGCCCATGACCTAGTCACAGCCATTGCACGTCAATTAGAAGGCTGCAGATTGCAGACCCCCAGACCCCTGCCCTCCTGTTAGTCACCCCAGAGTCTGGGCCTCCCTTAGAGCCCCAGGGGAATGTTCACTAAACTTCAACACAGGAAGAAGAGGAACTCCTGTACCTCGGGGCAGATGCAGCTGCTAGCCTTGGAGCACCAGACTCAAATCAAATAGTACGCAAAGCCCAAACACCAAGGTCCAACTTTAGCAGTTGAGCCACAGTGGAGACAAGAAGGAGGCCAGGCCTACCTTATTCCCCACAACCTCAGAGATACCTCCCTAGGGTCCAGGGAACATGGCAGCTTTCCCTTGTTCCTAGGCTCCCGCCATACAAGGCAGGTCCCCTCAGCTCCCTCCCCTCAAAAGTCTCCTGAACCCAGCTCCCTCACCGGATGCTTCAGCCAGTGATCTTTAATGGCAGGCCTCATCTTCTTGTGGACAACCACCTCTTGCAGTTCCTCCAGCGAAGGGTGCTGGCCAATCTCCTCCTCAAAGGGCAGCATGTACTCATCAACAGGCCCTGAGAGGTGAGAGGCTGGTGAGATCACACAAGGCCCAGCTCCGGGTTCCCAACCCGGGACACCCAGGCTGCGAACCCACTCACCGTCTGCAGCTCC